TGCATTAGCTTATTATCTCTCTGAAGTCACCACTTGCTGAGTTTCATGGTTTTTCCTATGAAAAGGACTGAAATATTTACGAATTCGTTCTTGAATGAGTTTTCATGGGTTTTTGACCTTCAAAGCCTTTCTGAGCTTTTCCCAAATTATTGAAATTGAACAACTCATGCAAGTATCTAATATATCTTCTTCTGAATTACATATACTCGTAGAAAGTTGTAAAACACTTATTATGTGCTATTTGGTGTCCAGCTGGCAATAGAAATCGCGCCTCTTGACATGCCCATCATAACCTTTTTCTTTCTCCAGTATAACAAATGCATCGCTCATCAACATGTGATATGCATAAAACCTCTTCAAATGCCTGAAACAATTTGAGTTACAAAGCCTCGCTAAAATTCTCCTTTTTTTGCAACATTTAACAAATAATTACTGACGTTAACAGTCTTTTAAATCAACCGTTGAAACAGTTATCATTCTGATTTTCCGAAGTTTTTGAGCAGTCAAAGCTTTAGTCCTACTCGAATTCTTCTAAATGATACATAGTCAGCGGTGTTTTTGCAAAAATTCTAGGAATTATAGATGTTTGCCGAGAAGCCGATGCCTTCTAAGAAGGCTATATTACTAGGTGCCCACGGTATCAAGTTTCCCCGCTTTCTTACCGAAAACTAAGCCGACAGCTGCCGCTGAATCTAGTATGCATTCTGATTGTTGGAAGTTTTTATTTCTGTTATCTAGAATTTCTTTCACATGACTTTGCGCTGCAAGAGAAGATGATAAAGCTTGATTAGCTAAACAAACTTTTTCCGCTCCATCGAAATCCGCTTTCTTTATGCATAAAAACCTTCAATATAATTCCTGTAGAAGACTGCGAAATGCATTTCTATCACATATTCTAGATGCAAAAGTAATGTGTGGTACTTTATTAGTAGTAGATAAATAAGCTATATTGAATTGTCAAATAGCATATAGGGTGTCCCGAGATATGTTCCTACTGTTCTTTCGCGTTCTTTAGGGGCTCTATGGGCATGACTTAAGCTTAAATCTATAGCCTGAAGCAAAGCAAAGATCACTTTTCAATCCTGCGAAATAGGTAGAAACTTCTAGCATTTTAGCGTTCTTGCAAATTTGCAGCAATTTCAGATATTTTCCAAAACACATGGCCTTTTGTGGTGGAGTTTCGAAGGTGCTGATTTCATCAAAAGTTTACACAAGTTTGTCCGAAATTTTGAGGATTCCCTAGATCTTTCAAAATCAAAATGTTTATTGTTTTCGAAAATCAATTTTCCGCCCCCCCCCCCCTTAGAAAAAATTTCAGCCACTTTATCATGCATGCGGCTGATTCCTCAAAAGGACTGCTGGGTCAGGAAAAGTAAGTCAAATAGCAATTATTTATTGTTTAGATTCTTGATCGACAGCTCCAAGACAGTCATTTTTTGCATAACATGTTATGAGGGGAACCAAAGGTTCAACTGACCCTATTGCCCGATTGTCCTCATATCCGGGCTGACTGCCAACTGTGTTGACCGTCCAATTGTCACAATGAGGAGCGAACCAATTAGACAGTATCGCGACGGCGCACGTCCAAACTAACAATCGCCCGGCCATTCCTTTCACCAAATGAAACACTTCCTTAGTCCACGCGTCTCGTAGAAGGACTATTCATCTTTTGGGTCCCGCCTATAGTGACAAAACTAGTTTTTGGATAAGCTTGTACCTCGGCAAAAGAGTTTTCACATTAGGAAGGCGCCTCTGGTCTATACTCATATTGAACCGGTCTTCTACTTATGGTGACGATTTCCGATTTGCGCGGCACATAGCGCTCGACCAATTTTGTTTCTTCGCCGTTTGTATGATTCTTTTTTGAGGTGAAAGTCATCTTGACCTCAACGGTCACAAATGCACTCGTTTTTCTATTGTTAGGAAGGTCAGTGTCGCGCTGATATGTAGGCCACAATGAGTGAAGTCAGCATATTCGTTGCTTTTCTTCACCAACGACATAATACAGTATGCTGCTCATACTTAGTAACATTCGCTGTCCTGCAAATATTCAAGTGATGAGTAGATTTTAATATATAATGTAATAATAATATAATAATAATGATATAACATAATAAATTTATTTATATATAATATATATATATTTTATATATCATACCAATCTTGGCCACCGTTCAACAACAAATCAAAAGATATTTAAATTATGCCAAGATTCATAGAAGGTCGAACTTGGAGGTTGATGAGTAGATTATTCTTGCTTGCACACAGTCAACCTTGGTCGTTCTGTGCATGAAGGTTGAAAAAGTCTAATAATACCGAAGAGTCTGTTGTGCAACCTTTTGGCTACCATAGGACAGTAAAGGATAGCAGCCAGGCTACTTGTTTTTTGCTTCATTTTATTTATTTATTATATGGCGTGGGCTACCCCTATGTGCAAAATCGGACAATAAAAAACGTAACATAAAAAACCTTCATCTTGCAAACTTTGAAAATAGAAGAATACACTTGCATTGTCATATCATGAATTACTGAATACCTTAACGAAAAAAACGAAACAATCTTTTTATGTGACTTTGGTGGTCTAAAAAAATGATTTCGCTCCTGTATTACCCATATATGTAAGCTTCGAGACAACTTCAGACTGCAAAAATACGCTGAAAAATACGAAGGATTTCTTTAGAATTGTTGAGGACTTTTATTGTACGCTGTTTCTGTTTATTTGCTAATGATAAAAAGTTTATCTCATTCAGTTCTGCAGTGGATGTGTCAGATACCATAAATTTTTCGCTTAATCACCACTTTGATGCACACATGCAGAAACAATTTCCTTGAATGATGGCAAACTGGGAAAATAACGCAAAGGCATAGAAACTCTGAATGCAAATCATCGCAAGACCTTAAGTTGAGAAACGAACACAAACATTGCAAAATGTTTGAGCATTCTGGGACTTATTAATACTCTATGTCAGTCAGTTAACAACTGATCATCGAAAAAAAATTTTTTTTCAGCAATTAACCTCTTCTTTTTTGCTTTTTATCTCTGACTTCATTTGAGGTTATATCATAGAATCAAATCTAGCTTAGCGCATTGAAATAGCCGATAAAACGTTATATCTTTTTCTGAATTGAACTCCTTGTCATGCTGATTGATTAGCATAAATTATGAATAGCATTTGCAACAAACTGCAGGTTTCCCCATTCCTAGTACGTTATCTTCTAGAAAAATCATATCTTTCTAATAACCTTCGCATCATTTTCAAGATTTGCAACTTCCCTTGGTGGATTTGCTTTGTTCTAAGTTTTTTTCCAGTGCCTTCCTGCAGGTTCCCTGTTTTTACTTATTAGCAAGTTGACGACAGTGTGCGTACACTCGGTGTCAATCAAGTGCTCCCTTTCCATAGCAGTAGCCTCCGCACCGCAAGGGGCAAGGCAAGCGACCCCGTCGATGAAGCGAGTTTTGCATGCGCGCTATATGCGCATAAACGCGGCGCGAGGCTCTGAGGTTGCGATTTGGCTGATGGAAATTGAACACAAGGTTGGCACGGGCCGTGTGGGCGCATGCACGCACTGACTTCTGTCTAGCATTTTCCTGCATATGTACGTATGCACGCTACTTTTTATGTTCAAATGAAAAGTTCTAAGGTTACTCCTATGCAGTAATACTAGTGGTGGCCTTCGTATAGAACACAATGCATCGTGGCAGCTGTTCAGGATTTTGAACCTTAAGTTTGAGCCTTCAGCTATTTTTATGTTTTAATACATGCTGATTATGTTTTTTCGAGAAGGCGAAAACATGTATAACTATTTTGAGCGCAGACAACATAAACCAGGCAAAAATACTCAGTGTATAAGCGCTTTCCTCGAAGGGAGATTCTTTAGATTTAGCCATTGCATGGTTTATGGAGGGAAACGCGAGGCAAATCGTTGACATGTGTGGTTCCTGGTATGACTCTGTGATATACATGCACCCTTTGATTCAACTGGCATGGCAGCTGGAAGGCGGGCTTTGTGGCCTAATTGAGGCTAGGTAATGGTCAGAGAGCACGTGCGCGGGGCATAAACAGATGACGCAGCGGGCCTTACGGACTTAGCCGCCTTAATCAGGTCACAAAGCCCCGCCTTCCAGCTGAATCAAAGATGTTATATCTAGAGAAAACGCATACTCTATGAATTAGTGTCAAAAATACTTCCACATAATGGTTTCGTGCATGCGCCTTATGTACGAGCTAAATGCATGTTAGGAAGAGTTTCGCCCAAAATGGCTCGGTTGTCAACATGTTATAAAATCGAGCAACGGAATGAAGTGAAAATCGGATAGTTTGGGTAATACTAGTCAATATGCTGAGCAAAGTTTGAGCTGATCCAAAATGAAGACTTATTATAAAGTGAGGAGTTTCATATTTGGCACAGTTTCCTTTTGTGAGGATCTCGCGGACAATCTTAAAAATGGTTTTTATGGGATTTGACTCTTGATGATTGGTGATGGAAATAGAGGAGGTGAACAGCAGTCATTTTGACACATTTTCTTCGTTTATTCTCAGAAGTGAGACGATACAAGACTTTTGCTAGAGCATTCCTTTTGTAAACAATACTTGTAGTAGAGCTTAATCTTGAAGAACTCAAAAATCTGTTATGTTGCGATAATACAGTGAATGCAATGACTTTTGCTATTTCAAATCTTTCCCACACTCGCATTTTTTTTTCAACCAACTGACTATGATTTTGCACTTTCCTCTCAACAACTTGTGCATTATTGTCTTACTTGAGTACACTTTTTTCTTACCTCGTTTAGCACTTTGCAATGCACTTTTTTCTCTCGATGAGTTCATCAGGGTATTATCAAGACACTGCTTTGGCTTTGACGACTGCAATTTGTTCGCTTCCATACAAAAACTATCAATTCTTCAATTCTATTGACTTTGCAACTTCACTTTGTGTGTGCTCGCCATATTTGGACACATAAGGAATCAAATGTAAAGTTCAGAGCTTATTTCTTCTAGATGCGTCCGTTGCTAATCTCACTTATTGCTCTCCTGTCGTTGGTTGCGGCACGTAGCAAAGAGTGGGCAACTCAGCCTTCTGGTCAGTCTTAGTAATCATAGCAGCAAGCCCAGGATTGAGATCTGCTTTCTGAGGTGCACTTTGATTTTTTAGAAATGAGTGAAGCTTCAGCACAAGCATCTCGTCCATATCGAGTGAAAATGACAAGCCCACATCCATTTGCCAGACAAATTGGACCTCCAATGAACGTGAAACGAGTCATTACACCCGTTCCAAAAGGTCAGTCGAGCTACGATGAGTGAAACGCTTGTATCCACTTATTATTCTATTTCCGCATACATTAACATTGGCAAGTAGAAAATGGAGCCTGGTTATACATTTCTCACAGAGAACCGACGAACGGGGAAAGGATTGAAATTGAAGGATATTTGTATATGACTTTAAATCTATACTTGTGAAGCATCCTTTCGAAGTCATCGAAGTAGCTCATTCTGTACCTTCAGTTTTGGACTGAAAAACAGGCGGTCGTGAGACCAAAAGGGACGTAAACATGTCTAACAAGGGAAGTTCACTTATTCAAAGTGGCGATTCGGAAGAAAATTTATACCAGTGAATAGAGCTCAAAAAGCTGATCTCATATATACCTTCTATATCTGCGATGCGTCGTTTTGAAAAAAGTTATCAGCTTTTCTAAAGCCAAATTTTAGTGCATTTTGAGTTGCAAAATCATGATAATTGCTACACAAAAGTGTGCAAGCTTGAGCAAACCACCTAATGAGCATTTTAAGTCTATTTCGAATTCATCCGAACGCTTTCGAGAATTTTTCGACCATGTTGTTCATCCACAGGTCGTCATATCATTCCTAGATCACCATTCCATTATGTATACAGAAAAGCCCCGTAACCTCTATTTAGAAAAACGCGTCGCGTCGGAAATTTTTTGGAGACTACCAATGGATAGAAAGTAAAACGATGTTCTCAAATATATCTTCAATATCTGCGACGCGTTCTTCTAGATGGAAGTTATGGGCTTTTTTGTATATATAACGGAAGTGTGATATAGGAAGGAAATGACGGCCTGTGAATAAACAACATGGTCGGAAAACACTCAGAAACGTTCGGATGAAGTCGAATTAGACCTACAATGCTTACTAGATGGTTTGCTTAAGCTTGCACACTTTTGTGTAGCGATTACCATGATTTTGCGACTCAAAATGCACGAAAATTTGACTTTAGAAAAGCCCATAACTTTTTCAGAACAATGCATCGCAGATATAGAAGGTATATCTGAGATCAGCTTTTCAAGCTCTATCTACTGATGTAGACCTCCTTCCGAATCGCCACTTCGACTAAGTGAACTTTCCTTATAAGCAAATCTGACTTTGTGCTTCTTGTCTGAGTGAGGGCTATCCCATACGAGCGCTTAGCTAAGCCTCCGCTTAAACGGAGTCGCAAACCTAGATACAGGCCGTGTAAAACCTGATTGCCCATGTCATGTTCAAAACACCAGCATAAGCGAGCGGTAGTTGCAAGGCACTACAGGCGTCTCATTCGCTGAAGAATTCTCCGGTCAATGTCCATTTTGTTTTAAGCATTGCACAGTATGTTACAGCCAAAAGTGTGTGTGTGTCTTTAGCGTTTTTTGAGAAGTCTGAAGGAGGTGGCACTCACTGTTACCTGTAAGTAGCCTATCTCATGTCAGGGTCCCACATCTTTAGCCGTTTCGCGCATTGGTGATCAAAGCAGACGCGAGCAATTGTATTTTATTAGGTTTTAAAGAGAGTTGCCGGGCAGTTTTGGAAATTCATTTTCAGAATTTTTCTCGCATTCCTTTTAATTTTTGCCGTGCATTTTTTGCATTGTTTTCGTAGTGGAAAGCTCAAGGCTTTCTATTGTCTTTCTGTTTTATATCGACGCCTAATCGTATCTGATCTATACATCGAAAAGGAGCCTTTTTTAAAGGCAAAAATTTTGAAATTTTTGTTCCCGTTGCCAATTTTCCGTGCTAAACAATCAAAGTAGTCTAAATTTTGAATGATCTGAATGACTGACTATTTGTCGACTACAAATCCTCAGCTGCGCTCGAGTTGCTGCAGCGCACAAAAATTAAAAGCTGTTAAGCTTGCCTCTAACGGCAACTATTTTCGCAGCTGGCGTCTATTATGAGTGGATCGCTGCGCTTGGATGAAATATGATCAAAAAAATGGTCAATTTCTCAGACTTTTTGAAATTTTTTTTTCGCAGGTGGCGAACATCACGAAGAATCCCTGTGACTGGGATCCTTCGTGATGATCTTGTCTCACTATGTTGAGACGTAGAAGAAATGATCTGCACTGAAGATGAGATACTTCTTATAGACCTAACATTTCAGTGTTCAAGACATCCGACAAGCTCTCGCAGCTATCCTACGGCAAGCAAGACAACTTGCAAAACTGAGAAACGAAAATAGCCGGAGACGGCCCAAGCGAGCGGTAGGTACGCGTCATTATACTCTGTTCGGGTTTTCTGCAATGCTGAAAGTCTCTGTATAGCTCGTAAATGACCTTAATATGCGAATCACGAATGCACATACTGTTCAGCGCATTAATGACAGCCTCAATTATAGCCTAACCAAAGGTTCTGAGCGAGTCAAAAATAGAGTAATTCCCTGCTTTTGCAGAGCTACTTCTATAAGCCTTAAAACTGGTGTATATGCCTATAGTGCCGATTGTTTTTGAAATCGACTTGCACGCGTAATCGCCCTTCGTAGAGCTCTTTTTCAATCCTGCTAAGAATGACGCGTGAAATTTTGTAAACATAGAGATACACTTGCCAACGTCGCAAGGATCCCAATTCTTCTAACAGCACCACCAATTTACTGGTTTTTTAATATGCACTTCTGCCTTCCGTTAATTTCTCGTGAGAGCCTTGCCCAAGCATCAATAAGGATTCGCTGGGGATGTATTCTATTTCGATCGGAGCCGACTTTAAGCAAATTCACTTTTGCATGTGAGGTTTAAATGAGCACCTGTGAGTAAAAAAGACATATAAGCAGTATAAAAGGTAACATACGTAAACGCCATCGTTTAGGACCTTCATATCTTACTGCGAACAAACGGGATTGGAAACGCCACAACCGTCGCCCAGGTCCTCAGTACTTGCTACGGATTTAAACAACGCGAAGCTTTATTACTATTTGAACAACTCCGACGGATAGCCCTCCCTAGGGCCACTTAAACCTTTATACTAATCGTATGAGTATTCAGATAAACTTCTTCGTATTAAATAAGCTTATATCATCACTACTGTAAAACCTTAAATAGTAGTTTACCACTTAGTTGGTCGTAAACCGGTGTGGTGCAGGAAGAACAATAGCTGGCAGTAAGGGGCGCGCAGGGAAGGATCTGTCAATAGCCTATGCATGTTAGGCGCCGCCCAGTCACGGCAAACAAGTTCACGACCAACTATTATACAATAGGTCATAGAATCGCATTCATCCTCGTGTTTTCTGGAAAATTATTTACCAATTGATTCATGATAATTCGTTGGTCGTCCAGTGCTTCAAAACTAGCTGATTTTGAGGAGGTAATCAGGAAGTAATCATGTATGTATGAAACATGAACTCTGCCATAGTGTGGCAGAAAAAAAACCTCCACTGCTTTTACAAGGAATACATTCACTACACTCTTGATAAGTGGTTGATTACATTGCTAAAAAAAGTTTCATACAAGTGCTCACTTATTGGCATTGTGAGATATAATCAATACGAGAGTATGCTAATCTTTCAAAAAAGTAAATAGAATTATGAAGAGAAACGATCAATTACATATGAGAGCCGGATAATAAAGAACGGTTGTAGAGAGTGATGAAGAATAATTCAGACAGAAGAAAGATTTCTCTCGCAACGTACTATCGAAGGCATGAACTACGACTAATTGAATCATTGTGGTATTATGCGGGCCAAATTCAATATTTTAATCTAGCCTGTGTGACCTATGGGAGCGTTATGCATCTTTATTCTATTAGATAACCATGGAGAATTAAGAGGTCTTTGAGAGTGATAATCATGAAAAGCGGCAGTTGAGTAAGCCGCATTAAAACCGAAATGTTACCTTTTCAACAAACTATTGACTTATGCAGCTTTGCTGTAGCAGGTGCAAGCGCAACAGCAAACATCACAGAGTCTTCAGAATCGTATCAACGGTAATGGAATTTTACATGTATCAGTATACATTACATAGTAGATGGGATTGTTCTTGCCGCCCGCACTACACAGAAAAGTCCCATCACTTCATCAGCGCGACTCAAGAAGAAGCACGAGTTATAGCGAAGAATGTCTGCGTTACCTAAGTCTACATTATATGAGGGACCTTTGGAGGGTATGTGAAATAATTAAAGAATCACGAAACGATACGAGAACGACAAATGCAGTGAATCGTTTCACGGGTCGATGGATGAAGACAGTCAAGAACCTACACGTTTGCAGAAACTCGGGCACGTTGCTCGAATGCAAGTACCCCCTACCTAGGAGACTGATTGAGGAAGTGAAGAGCTGCAGTACTAATGACAAAGAAGAATTCCTCAATATGGGAAGAGTGAGTTGCATTTGGAGCTTTAGCTACCTACTACGCAAATGTGTTTCAGTGGCCTACGGATGGAAGACGATTGAGAAAGAGTGATTCAAAAAGGCGGGAGATAATATAAAGATGATGACGGTATGTCTTAGAAGGTTTGAGAGAAGAAGCCTAATCAGAACAAACTCGCCAAAGAGTGAATTACTGCAAAAAGACCAACATTTGTAATAAGCAAAACTAGCTAAAATCCTAGAAACATTGCAGTGAAGGAGTATCTTTCTGCAGTAAATCAGTGATATCATGTTGTTGTTACTTTTGTAAATAGTGTTAGTAACTTCAATTTCTTTTGCACAAAACCTGCCATTATGTTTTTTGTTTTGCTAAAACACTGTTTCTTGACAAAAATGCATATACTCACCATTGCACAGAGTTGAGGGCTGCTGGAAGAATTCGATCCTAAACATCAACAAGGCGTGATGTGAACAAATCAGTATCACACACATATTTATGAAAACACATCAAAGACAAAAAGGACAAACGATATGATACGTTGACAGCGAACAAAGCGCAAGTTTTCGTAGAATTTTGGTCATAACCATCGCTGAGCTGTTCACATCTCCAATCCTACATTATTCACAATCTCCTTTTTCTTCAGAGAAGCAGATAAGCTGCTCGTGAACATGTGACATTCATAAAAGCTCTACACAATGCCTGGAACTGAGTTACAAAATCTCAGTAAATAGTTTCTGTTTTTGCAGCATTCCGCAAATAATTGCTCAGACTATAGTTTAAATAATTATGACCATACCTTCGATAGTCTAGAGAGAGGGCGTCAAAAGTGAAAGTTATTTGAGTGTATGCTACCCATGAAAAGTGAAAGTTGTTCATAGGAAATCAAAGAAGGGACGAAGATGTGAAACAATTAGCGAAAGCAGAAGAAGCTCTCCAAAACTCAATAAAGCGTCTCAGTTAATTTGAAATTTCGTTTGGAGGCATTTTGAATTTGCAGGTTTTGTCTTCAGGTCCAGGCAGTTCACAGGACGGGGAAAAACGAGGGAAAGCTGGTTTCTTCTTTGAGATTGTTTTTAAAACAAACATATTGTGAAACTAGTCATTACCAAGAAGAGAATAAACGAAAAACATCTACTTACGAAAACGTAAATTTTTGTTTTCTCCTAAGTCAAAATGCACGTCAAAGGCAACCCAGTTTTTGATGCGTCCTTTGAGTTTTTAGACCCTTCTCGTAGTCTCTGTTTCTGGCGAGGTTGTCAGCTTTGTTGTGTTAGTAATTCTGAGTAAACGACTTCAAGCATATAAGAAATGGTTACTTACTCAATAAAGGCCTCCAATAAAGGCCTATGTACAAAAACGCACTTTTGGAAGCTTTGTGCTAGATATTTCCTTACAATCAAAGAAGTTAGCCCCGCGACGTTGCCTGCATTATGAATGGAAGCATGATCTATGAAACGCGCAAAAAACCCGCTTGAAATGAGCTAGACTGAAGAAAAAACAAGCGATTTTTGAAAACACGGTTTTGCCAGATTTCTCGTTAAAATAAGAGAATGGAGTTCTGCAACGTTGTCAGCGTGAAAGTAAACAAAGAGCTTCAAGATGATATACAGTTTGTGCTAGGTTCAAATTAAACGACAAAGCCCCGCGTTTGGGGTAGCGAGATAGCGCGCAATGCGCGGAGACGCAGACGAGCAGCGGAGACAGACCAGAGCCGACGGGGCATTTGGCTCTGGTCGTAGATCTCTGCAGAGTCTCAAAGGCAGCGGATCAGCAGAATGGACCCTTCTCGGTTTTTGGTGGATTTAGGTAATAGACTCTCCAAGTACACTGTAGACTAAACCCCACTTGCCAATTCATGCGCTAAATCCTGAAAAATGCGCTTCAAAACTCCCAGCCCCGCCCACTCAATGGAAAGGGGTGGGGCTCAGGACTTAGCGCATGAATTGGCAGATGGGGTTTGGGCTACAGTGTATTTGGGAGGTCTACTATCTAAATCCACCAAAACCCGAGAAAGATCCATTCTGCTGATCCACTGCCTTTGATGCAATCCTGCAACATTATATATCATTGTAATCCTCATGACACGACCAGAAGCACTGACATTGTCACGAATGCTGAAAATTACTCCATAACGAGATAAACATTCATGTGGCTACTCTCTGCGCAAGAGTTAAGCGCATTTTCTCGTTTTCATTGAACTCCAGTAGCTTTCGTGAACTTCTAACACTTAATCGTCTATAAAAAGGTTAACTGAGAATATTCGTCCTAAAATTTAGGAAAATTTCCGACTAAAAACCTTCTTTTCAGCATAAAGGTTACAAAAACACAAACTTTTTTTCAAATACCACTTTAACTGTTGCCTCGTTCATATTCACTCCTATATAGTTGTGTCATAATATCCGGGGCTTTGCCTGGAATGACCTCTATTCTTTCCTCCGGGTGAAGGTTGTGTTCTGTCATGACGCTCAAAGTGAAGGTTACCAGAGTACATGGCTCTCTGTAACGAAGGCATAACTTATGACTTCAACATATTTACATGTCACTATCAATGTCACTGATCACTAGATCAATTGTCATTGTACTCTCAAAGTTTTTTCATTTATCAACACTCAGCATCGTGCAACTCAAAATCTTTGATCATTGGTATAACATTTTTGTGTAGTATTGTCGTCTGCTAAATCTATAGACGTTTGCGAAGAAAGCATGTTTTCTAGAAACGTTACATTTCTAGCTACCCACGGTATCATGTTTCTCTGCTTGCTCAACAGAAAACAATGCCGAAAGGTGCCCCAAAATCTAGTATTCCGACTGCTTAGAAACTTTTACATTTTTATTATTACATTTCTATTACTCTGAGCGCTTTTTTCCACAAGACCTTATACTGCAACCTAAAAATAAACCTTGGATGCACGTGTAAACGGTTTAGACTTTTTCTGCTTCAGCTTAGAACTCCACTTCCTGTGTGCATATAAATTTTCCATTTAATTATTTCGAAAATTATATTTTGATGCTTGAGCGACCATAACGCTATCAGGGCATTTGCGTAGGACTAATCGCGACTGAAGCTCTGAGTCGGCTTTTGCCGAAGCAGTGAGAGGGACAAGGGTTTGGTAACATGCGGACATGCCAAGGCAAGTCATGCGGGTGGCTATCAGATACTGTCGTGTATAGACATTTCTATAGCAGAACTGGTGAATTTGAAAAATAAGTCAAATGACAAATATTCAGCGGCTAAAATAAACACATCTGTGGTTAGGTTTTGGACCAACAGACTTCGAACGCTGTCGGTTTCTGTATGTCATTGGAAACAAAAACAGTAAGAAACCAAAAGAAAAAAAACAGTAGAAAATAAGACTGGCATGACCTTGTTACCCGCTTGTCTTTCCATCCGCACTGATTGCCACGGTGTTGACCGTCCAACTGTCACAATGAGGAGTGAACCAAATAAACAGTATCGCGACAGCGACGCAGTCCGAACTTTTCACCATATGAAACACTACCCTAAACCGTGTCCCATAGAAGGATCATTTATCCCGTGAGTCCTATTGCAATGACAAAACTAGTTCTTGGATAACTTTGTACCTCGGCAGAGGAGTTTTCACATTAGGAAGGCGCCTCTGGTCTACATCCACAGTGAACGGTCTCCTATTTGTGGTAAAAATTTCCGATTTGCGTCGCCCATACCGCTTGACCAATTTCGTATCGAGTCTCCGTTTGTATGAGTCTTTGCTGGGGTAAAAATCATCTTGACCTCAAATGCATTCGTTTTTCTTCTGATGAAACAAACAGTTTCGCGCTGATTTATAGGTCGTAAAGGGTGAGGTCAGCACACTTCGATGCTCATCGTCACTGACATTATACAGTAAGTTGCGCTCGCTTATACATGTCGACCATTCGCTGTCTTGCAAATTATTAAATCACGTGCAATTTGTAGCTAGTACATCAAGCGTGGTCAAGCGTGCAAAGTGATCCAGTGATTCTCGAGCTGATCTCTCTTGCACTAGCGAAGATAGTCTACAATTGCCGAAGAGATGTGTACAGCATATCTACAATTGCCGAAGAGTGTGTACAGCATTTAGGCGCATTAAAACGAAGGTGCGAGCTTTTGATAGAGTCCTTAGACATGCACAAATGCGATCCACCTAAACTTTGAAGGCAAAAACCTGAGAACGCGCCAAGAAGTCCTACAAACCTATGTAGTAACTATTTGAAAAATATGTTCTAACATTGCAGACTAGGCTCTTTCAAAGTTCCGTCCTATTTATTTGTCAACGCAACAGTTCTCCATAATTTTGCACCTATAGCAGTATCGTAAACAGCTCTGGAAAGTTTTTTGCTCTCTCGAACGCTTTCCGAATTTTACTGAAATGTTTTTCAAGTATCGCCGGAATGCAAATGTGCCTGAAAAATCCATTCTGTGAAGAGATTATCTGCACTAAATACAAACTTACTTCATAAAATTTTTTTAGCGGGTGAGGATGTAATGAGCTAACACAGGTACACTTTTTACCCTATCATAAAAATTATGGTATCTTCAAACTCGTTTTCAAATATTAGAGGTTCCCTCAGCTGTTCTACACAACGCAATCTATGCATAGTGACAAATGATGTATTAATGTGAGGAAACAAGGGCAAGCAAGGGCCGTTCAGCCAATCAGCTTTTTTGTCTGCGACATGTAAAAAGAAAAAGTCGCCATGCTTGCACGCGTGGAGGAGGATCAAAATAGCAATTTTTGATTTGCTCACAAAGATTTCTGTGCAGCAAAGATTACATGGACCCTTTTTGGTTATAACATAATCATTATATAGGGGTGTGGTGCAAGAGAAACGATAACAATTGTCAGCCGCTGGTGCCAATGCACTATTTGCCTCCACAATTCGCAAATTGCAAACTTAAGAAAAACGTTAGTATGGTATTAATGCTCTACTCAATTTACTTAATAAGTGTTGCTTAAATCCCGGTGGTATGTGCAATTCGGTGACGTTTTTGCAGGAATAAGCTTGAAAAACTTAAAGTTTCACCCTTGAGACCTTTTTCGACATTTTCAGCTAATTTTCACACCTCATTTTTAAGCAAACACAATTTATAAGATTCTCCTGTCTAGATGATAGCATAAAAGAGGGAAATGCTCTAAATTTCTGTGTGCTGATGGACAGAAAAGATGAAGTATGCGCGAGTTATTGACACCCACCAGCTATCGTTCCTCTTGCGTGAAAGTGGACGTTTTAGAGAAAATTCTGCGAACTAGTTTGAATTTTTGCTCCTAACTTATGTGGCCTTTCCAAATATCATATTGCTCTTTCAACAGAAAAAAAACTCGCTTAATCCAGCAAAAATTAAACGTTAAAAAATGTTTGTTTTAAAAGATCCTGACATTTCAACTCAGAAAATCTGCAAATAGGACTAAACTTTTAAAACAACCTAACACAAGTGCTGCATTCTTTTTCACGGACAGAGATCCGAAAACAAATATAGGCAATCCCCTGCCAAAGCAGTTCTGGCCCTTCTACAATAATAGTGGGCCAAATATGAGCGCTGGGTTTTAAAACTATCAAATTCAGCATGAAAAGCGAAAAAGGCTACCTATTCGTAAATTCCGTTTTATTTGGATTGAATCCTAAGTGCAGGAATTTGGAGAGCTTATTTGTTACTGCGTCTACCATACCATAACCAAACGAGTCTCTCATGAATCCTTCTAAACGGAGGTCCAATTTCTGGGGCAAATTTTGGCTTCAGCCGTAGGTGGAAACAATTTGTGCAGGCATTTAGTAATTCACCTTGTAGAGCTCGTTTTGTTCTATTTGAAAGTACCTCACTTACTTTCTTGATGGTCACCCTGTAGCGGTAGCATGTAAGTCAAATCAATTTTTATACAGGCGTTATAAATCTATACCTTCAAAAAAATTGCGCTTTGCAAACTAACAAAAAACTTCATTTTCAGTACTATGAAAAGGCTTGCTTTTGTCTTTCGATATTAATAAATGTTTTTCTGTGCTTACCTAGCTGAATGCACAGAAATATTGTCTTGTAAGAACGCTTGAACAATGCGACCACAGGACGCCAAGATTTTTTTTCTGAGATTTCTATCACGAAGTGCTCGCACTGATTTGAAGTCTATATGAGAATGTTGAATCGAATATTCTTTATTATAACGTCAAGTTTTTAGAGGGTGGATTATTTTTTTCTCACATTTGAGTGTCAGGTATTATGAATTCTTCATTCACTCACCGCATTGATACATACAAATGCCAAGAACAATCTCGTTGAATGATGGCATGCCAAAAGATTACGTAAACACATAAAAACTGAAGAATGAAATTATCGCATGACCTTGGTTGAGAAACGCACACAAACACTGCAAAACTTTGGAGCATTCCTTCATTAGTTCCTACGCTGTGCCAATGCTAAGCCCAAGTTGAAAAATTTTTGAAAGGTGTTTGTTTTGGTGTTTTATACGCTGATTCATTAACCCCGTGATCTTTAGGAAGAAGTATGTCTTATTATGGAATCCTCAATTTTTCTATATTCCATATTTTTGTCATGTTGATTGGTTAGCATAAATTACAGAAAAAAGTTGCTCGCTTTTCCTTGATTTGGAGCACAGTTTCGCAGAGGAACCAGTTTCCTTACTTGGCACCTTTCCTTTTGTGAGAATTTCCAGTTTAACAGGTATACATGGAGATGTTTTGGGCGGTTTATGTTGAGTCCTAATGGTCGGTGATGCGAAGAAAATGGAGGTGATGAACTGATCATTGTGAACAGCACACCTCGTATATCTTCAAAAGTAACGCGATACATGGCTTAACTGAAGAGTACTTTCAAAAAAGATCGCCGTAGCTGAAGCACCAAAAAAATTTTTTTTTCGAAAAATCCAAATTCTAAAAACTGTTGTTGTCTCAGCTCTCGTCTCAAATTTTTCCCATAGTCTTTTTCCCGCTACAAATCTGTGATTTTGCACTTCTCCTCTCAACGCTGTGCATTATTGTCTTTTACTCAAGTGCATTTTTTTTTCGTACCGTCATTTAGCACTTTGCATTGCATTTTTTTCTCTCGATGAGTTCATCAAGGCATTTTCAAAGTGCCATTTTGGCTTTGACGACGACTGTACTTTGTTCAGTTCTCTACAAGAAAAGACTCAACCCTTAAACTCTCTTGACTTTTGCAACTACTTCGTGCGTCCGCTATATTGGAGCGCTTTATAAAATCTCTAGGTCAAAGTTTATGTGGAGCTTATCGCTTTCAGATGCGCTCGCTGTTGATCTGGATTATCACGCTGCTGCCATTGGTTAAAGCAAGCCAAGAGCGGGCAACCCAACCGTCTGGTAGGTTTGCAGTGACGCAGTATCTAACGCTTGAGGTCTAAGCTTCAATTTTGCTTTCTATTAAGCCCATCTTTTTACAGAAATGAGTGGAGCATCAGCTCAAGCATCTCGTCCATATCGAGTGGAAGTAGCAAGCCCACATCCATTCGCAAGACAAATTGGACCTCCACTAAGCGGGAAACAAATAATCACGCCGGTTCCAAAAGGTCAGTCAAACGATGATGCTTGAAATGCTTCTGTTTGCTTCGCATGTATTAACGCCGACGTAAGTAGAAAAACTTAGCCCGAAGACAATTTTTTTTGGATAATATTGGAAATGAGGAAGATAAATTTCAATAAAACTTGTATTTCGGATTTCAAAATTACTTCTGAAAATTTTTCAAAGTTATTAGAGTGCTTTTTTTTGTGCGTCCAGCTTTGTACTAAATTTTGGATTGATTTTCGACTTTTACTGAGAAGGCATATAGGGTTGTCTAGGCAAATCCGAAAAAAAGACTTCTTATCTGAGGGCTGTCCTATAGTTACGAGAACTTAGCTAACTCTTGTCGCTTAAGCAAAAACCCAAGAGATTTAATTCTGTTCCACAAATTCGACTTTAAACTCCAGTTCCAGACTGTTCTCTTCCCAAGCGCACTAATCAAATCTTCGAGTAGGGCGAAAAATGCCGTCTAGACTGTTTGTATGCTCGGGTTTGGAACGTTTAACACGTTGACGACAAACCACATTCTTAGTTGTCTGCCTTGTGGGACGAGGTCTTCCCCGAATAAACCGAAGAATTTTGGCTAAAATTACGCAGACTGTGTAATTCCCACTCTACTATACCTAAATTTATTTTGAGAAGTAGTCAAGAAACGTGGAAGCAATTTCTTGAAAAATTATTCCAAAGTAATAGTTATTTTGACAGAATTGAAGTCATGACCCTTCATGTGTGTCATATGTTCCAGTGGCAGTCTTCGTGACTCGCATGTGGGTCACGTCGTCAATGCGTTGAGCTGCAAGGCGATGGGTCAACAAAAACCTCAATAATCACCGCATAAAAAACTTAGGAACTTAGATTCGCTTCCTTTCAGATCTCAGTGAAATAAAACTTAGGAAGTTTTTGTCACATCTTTTATTTCCTTAACTGTTTTTGTTCAAGATTCAAAAAGTTGAGTTCTGAGAAACTCTTAATTCAGATGAAATCCAATTTCTTACAAATACAGCTTTCGTGTGACTGAGATCATTCATGATGAGCGTTTTGCTCTATGTTGAGACAGCAAGAGTGATTTGCACTGAAGACGTGATATTAAACATGACGTTTTAGTGTCATCCGACAAGCTTTCGCAGCATTCTTACGGCAAACAAGATAGCCTGCAGAATTGAGAAGACAAAAGTAGCTGGAGATGGAGCAAGTGGACTATAGGTACGCGTCACTATCTTCAGCTGGGCTTTTCTGCGATGCCATGTTGGAAGTCGGTGTTGGCTCACAAAAGACCTTGGTCTACTGATTAAGAGTTTTCGTGACTGTTTATTGCGTAGTCAAAGGTTCTTTGCAAGTCGGCGAAGATAAGATGGAGTGCATGCTTTACTACTCTCGCGATATCTCCGTGATCCTCGAACTGTTTTGTTTTGCTGGACTCTTTTTGAAACCCGTTTTGATCGCATAGTCCTTCGTATAGTTCTATTTCAATTCTGATAAAAAGATTCGTTTGAAAATCCTGTAACAGCACCACTGCTTTGCTGGTCTTTGATAAACATACATTTATGCCTTCCGTTGATATCTCGTGAAGAGCCTTGCCAAAGTATCAATGGGAATCTACTGGAGATTAATATTAGGTTGTCCCGAAAGTTTTGTCCGTTTTTCCAAACAACTATAAAACCACACACAGTGAAGACGTGAATGAGTTTGAACATGCATTCGATGCAACTTTCCCTTCTCTTTCTTATGGATACATTTTCGAACATTAATCTTGTATCTTTTTTTGATAATTGCTAAAATTCTCCACCTATCAATTTTGTCTGCTCAAAATTAGGCTAATTTTTGAAAACTTTATCCCAAAGTCTCAGAGGGATTAAGTATGGATCAAATAGAGCAATTCTCGGACTACAAGGTAATATTTTGGACTCTCCTAATCTGCTGTTTTAGCTCTAAAAAATTGTTTCTTTGGAGGTCTTGATTTTTGGCAAAGTCGTGAAACACGCAAATGTAGCAAATATACGAGAGCTTTTGGAATTTCTACGAATTAAAACATGACCCCATTGAACATTACTTATGCAACATAACCAAGTTTGATGTGCTTTGAAAAAGCAGCTCTTTGAAATTTTCGTTACTTTTACGTGGTAAAAGTCATCAAAAAGCAGCGGTTTTTATCTTATATATAAAGCTGAATGTCTGTCTGTATGTATGTCTGCCTGTCTGTACGTATGTGCGGAATAGAAATCCTTATTTCTGAACCGATTCGGACCAAACTTGGCACACATATACTTCGGGGCAGGGGCGTGTCATAGGCTACTTTTCGTTATCGATCGATATCGATTTTATCGATTTTTTGCAAAATTTGAGCTAGGGGGCTAGGATTTTGCACAGGGGGGTAATCGAGCATGCTGATCACCCCGGAGGGGTTGATAACGAATAACGAAAAGTAGACTATGACACGCTCCCTGCCCCGAAGTGTATGTGTGCAATGTTTGGTCCCGGGCGGAGCCGGGTTTGCCATCTAGTGTACTATATGCATATCTTATATACAGGGTGTCCCAAAAGTAAGTACACACTTTTCAATTGTCAATATCTCTCTTCCCATTGTGTCTTTTTCTTCCATTTGATTACCATTCTGTAGAGGAGGTTTCAACTTAGATTTGATATCGAGCGAATCACCGACCTTTCTTCATTACTGTAGGATTACGGTACGAACTTCGACAAGGATTTTGAATGCTAAATTGAGTTATTACGATTTACCGGGGACAACTCAGAAAAGAAGCATCACAGTAAAGTGGGAATTTCAAATTTTCAAATTCGAAATCAGCGGCTCCCACTGCCATAGTACAAGAATTTTTTGGCTTGTTTGGTTTTGTTCCGAGGGAATATGGCCTTCAATGGGTTAAAATCCTTGTGGAAGTTCGTACCGTAATCCTACACTAATGAAGAAAGGTCGGTGATTCGCTTGATACTTCAAATCTAAGATGAAGCCCCCTCTACAGAATGGTACTTGAATGGAAAAAAAGACGCATTGGGAAGAGAGATATTAACGATTAAAAAGTGTGTACTTACTTTTGGGACACCCTGTATAAAGCTGAATGTCTGTTTGTCTGTATGTCTGTCTGTATGTCTGTCTGTCTGTCTGTCTGTCTGTCTCTACGTATGTTCCGAATAGAAAATTCCATTTCTTAACCGATCCGAAACAAACTTGGCACACATACACTTCGGGCCCCGGCGGGTGTCATAGGCTACTTTTCGTCATCGATCGATATCGATTTTATCGATTTTTTTGCAAAGTTTGAGTTATGGGGCTGGGAGTCGGTACAGGGGGGTAATCGAGCATGCTGATCACCCCCGTGGGGGTGATCAGCATGCTCGATTACACCCCTCTGCCAAATTCCAGCCCCCTAGCTCAAATTTTGCAAAAAATCGATAAAATCGACATCAATCGATAACGAAAAGTGGACTGTGACACCCGCCGGGGCCCGAAGTGTATGTGTCCCAAGTTTGGTTCGGATCGGTTAAGAAATGGAATTTTCTATTCGGAACATACGGCGGAGCCGGGTATGCCAGCTAGTCAAATATAATTATAACGGACTTGGTGAACATGACCCATGTAATCTAACTTGAGTACAATGTAGCCAAAGGTTTTTTCTATATAATATTAGGTTGGCTAGAAAGTTCTTGCGTAATTCAAACAAAATTCAATAACTTTTCAATGCATAAACCTAAATTCACAATCTTGTATGCTAAAAATATTAGAAGGCTTGCCCTCCATGATGGATGTCTAGTCATAAAATTCCATGAGCTAGCCACCGAGAACGAAGCTCTTAAAGATGGCGCTTAAAATTTTGCGATTTTGAGTTTGGTGCCAGAAAATCGCAGAGTGCCGCTAGCTAGCCGAAAAAAATCTCTAGAATTTACTTACATAACAAAAGTCCATATATTACTTTGGAAGGCTTTGATCTTGCACGGTGAAGTAAAAACAAAAAATTCGCGAAATATGTCATTTTACAGGATAAATCCCCTCATTGCTGTAATTTTTCCATAAAAACACAGTTTGCAACCAGAAATTAGACATAGTGCCTATTTAGAACCTTGCGACGCTTTTTGGAGTGTAAAAAAGTGTTTTCGCCGAAAAACTGCGGTAATGAGGGGATTTTTTCCGCAAAATGACATATTTTACGAATTTTTTGTTTCCGCTTCACCGTACAAGATCAAAGCCTTCCAAAGTAACATATGGACTTCTGCTGTGTAAGTAATTTCTACAAATTTTTTTCGGCTAGCTAGCGGCACTCTGCGATTTTCTGGCACCAAACTCAAAATCGCAAATTTTTAAGCCCCATATTTGAGAGCTTCGTTATCGGTGGCTAGCTCATGGAATTTTATGCCTAAACATCCATCATGGAGGGCAAGCCTTCTACTATTTTTAGCGAACAAGATTGTGAATTTAGGTTTAGGCATTGAAAAGTTATTGAATTTTGTTTGAATTACGCAAGAACTTTCTAGCCAACCTAATAGATACTAGCGCTCTTCAACAACATTAGAACAAAATTATTTAGAATTCAAGAAATATTTGGCACACTGCTGAGGTGTTCAAAAAGCCATGGCCCTAACAATGCAAAGACAGAGTAGATCAGAGTGCAAATATAGTTGTAAGAAAGAGTTCAAAAATCTGAGTCAAATGGTACTTAAGCCGCTCATGGATCGATGTTCCGTGAGTTTTAGTGGGCGATGAAAAAAAACTTTCGCGGACAACCTAATATTTCATTCAACTCCGGCCAGAACCGAGCTCAAGCGATTTCACTTCTGCACTAGGCTGTTTTTACACAGTACATATGGATAAAAACGGGACCTATTTAGTGTAAATGATAGATGGCATGTGTAAACGTTATAATTTAGGACCTTCACATTACCTGCGAACAATCGGAATTGGAAACCGCCACAACCGTCGCCCAGACATTCGACACGATTTCAAAGAACGCGAAGCTTTTTCATGACTCCAGCAACTCTGACGCACGCCCTCTTTAAGGCTACCGAAACCACATTAATCGCATAAGCATTCGAATGAAATTTTCTGTGTTAAACGAGGTGAAATCATAGAACTTTAGTAGTTTGCCACTAAATTGGTCGTGAACGCCTAGATGCTCACTTTTCATGAACTGTTAGATCTTACGAATTGAACTGCTTATATGAAAGTAGACGGCAAGTAGGCAAATAAGAACAGTGAGGAGGTGATGTAAACGGCTGAAGTGGTTAGCGAAAGCAGAGTTTGCCAAGGATATGCTATTATTGTGCTGATGCAAAAATAATGAGTGTTTTGGGAATTCTCATTTTTACTCTCCATCTTTTTAAAAATCTATATTTTCAAATGCAGTTAAGAAACTTCCGAAAGTAAACCATCCATCTGCAATACAGCGCGCATTCGTCTGGACTCATATCAAAAACGAGCAGAAAAATATGGATTGAAACACAAGGAAAGTTTTCCTTTCCGAAGCCTAGTTGTTGACAAATCATAACTCCCTTCACAGTTAGTTAGTATATATGATAAGTTGCTTGTCTTGTAGGCGCAAGCCAGTAAAAAATAAAGAAGAGGAGGGCTTGGACAAAAAAGATGTGCGAGAAAAAAGTTGAACTTCAAAACTATCAGCTTCTTCAATTATTTTTTAGCAGGCTTCAAAACCCGAATAATAGAATTATTCGATTTTCTGTGTAAGCGTTTTTGCAAATGTTATTAGTAGGATGCCCTACCCTTAGTGAGCAAAGCTTCTGATTGCATTCCTCAAAAGAAATTTATGGGCGTTAGAATGAGTGCAACGGCTACCGTTGAGACTACCATAACTCGGCTATATAACTTATTCTTGTTGATCACTTCGAAATTGACAGTTACCAGCGAGCTCGCGTCATACATGATAGGTGCAAAAAAACGATATGGGAGCTGTTATAAATCCCCTGTATATGATGGCACTCTTGGTAATTTACCAACTAGACCTGCTCTTTCAGATGTTAAAGAAAAGAGGTAATCAGATTGGTGCGCCGCGGAATCAGCGCCGTTTGAAGCTGATTCAGAATATATACGACCTTGCCAAAAGTCCGAGCTAAGTTGAGTATCTTTCCTTATAAGTTATCCACAGCGTAATGAGATAGTGCAGGCTTGTATTAGATTGTAAGGTTCAGCTAGAATACT